TAGCAGTGACAAAACCTATTGCTGACCAAATGAACCCACTTCTCAGAATTTCTAAAAGTGTGTTTCCTTCCACCTTTTACCTTTGTTATTATAAAACAGAAATGTTTTCGGTAGAACGATTAAACATTGCAGATTTTTAATCTGGCCTGGTCACAAAAACTATAAGGAAATGGTCTTTTTTTGTAGTTGTTTTTTTTTTTCCATGGTCCTTTTTGCCTTCTAACCTCTCTTTATTTCAGACCAAATCCAAAGCATTTTATGAACAATAGATTTTCAGCCTTCTAAATTGCTAAAATACCGTGATTTAATTGAATACCAAATTGCAGTATTCATGTTCAAAGTAAGACATAACCTATTCCCAGGGAATATACAAAAGATGTTCTCTGAAAGGGAGGGAGGGTACGATTTAAGGGGAAGGGGAAATTTTAAGACTAATAGATGTAGAACAACAAGGAAAAGATTATGTTTATCAATTCATTGAGTTAAATTGTGGAAAAAACTAAATGAGAATCTAAAGCAATGCCCAAACATATTCCTTTTCAAAAAAATGTACAAAGAAATTATTTTCAGAAGGTATAGAAAAGCATTATAGAAAGTTTTGTTTGTGTTTTTTGTTTTATTTGTATATATATATATATATATATATATATATATATATATATATATATATATATATATATATATATATATATATATATATATATATATATATATACTGTATGAGGGTATTTGTGTATAAATATTTATGTATGTATATGTGTAGGTAAGTGTGTATATATATGGATATATATAGTAACATATTTATAAATGTTACAAGAATTAAAGGGGTAGGAGTACATAAGTTTTACTTCTTCCTACTCCTTTTCGCACATGTAATAGAGGTATATTAACTCAGGAAAAAAAGGTACCTTGTTTGTTGTTTCTCTCCCCAATGATTTTAAACATTGTTTTATTTGTTGTTTTTTTTTCTCTCTCTCCTTCTTGCATGTTCGAAATAAAGCCTCAGTGAGAGTACAAAGAGTAGAGGGGAGAACAGTTTCGGGAAAAAAAAGCTTGAATTTTGTTGTTTTCAATATGAGAAGACTGGAAAAGGTTTCAATAATGGTTACTGAAGGAGGAAAGTAAGGAGGTATGAGTGTGGATTTTAAAATACCTGCAAAGCTATTTATTGCTCTGGAATTTGCTAAACAGGTTAGGACATCAAACAGCTTGGCATTTTATACATATTACTGCTGTTTGTTCAATACCATATTCCATTATTTTCAGTCCAAATGTTCTTGTTTTTTATTTGCCATAAAGAAAATCCTGTGAAAATAACTGCTTTCATAAGTCAAGTATTGTGTCCATTTGGGTCTTACTGTATAAATTCAGTTGTTCTGCGAAACCGCAGATGTAGTATGAAAGATCAAATAACACAGCAGATAGCTGGGGGATAAAGTTATATAAGTATTCAAAGCATTTTCAGGATTTTAAAACCATGTCATTTAAAAATCTTCACAGAACATGGATCGTACGGAGCCCCTCTGATGACATGGTCAAAAAAAATGTTTAATTGTGGCCACGAAGTAGTATTTCGCGGCCACGCAATAAGTTTAACGTGCACACGAAATACTTATTAATAATATCAATAAATCCGCCCTGTTCTCAGGCTTATGTTAACTGTAATGACTTATCTTGGACAGGCTGCTATGTAAACGGGCCTTTAGTCCTTCGTTTAGCTATGCTGCGGTTGTTTACACTATGCCTTTTCCACCTAAAATGGCGTCTTAGCAACAAATGTCACGTGACTGGCGGAGACTGACTGGGTAAGCAAATCGAGCGCGCCTTAGACCTTAGAGAAGGCGCGCTCGATTTGCTTACCCAGTTGTCCAGGAATTATATTAATATTATTAACAAGTATTTCATGCGCACGTTAAACTTATTGCATGGCCACGAAGTAGTATTTCATCCGCACGAAATACTACTTTGTGGCCACAATTAAAAATTTTTTTTGACCATGTCATCAGAGGGGCTCCGTAGGATCGTTCTCTGGAAATGACATAAAAAAAGACACATGAAAACTTAAGGATTAAACAGCTTTTTAAAAACAAACTCTCAGTCAATAGTTGTTGTGTCATTGGGCAAGTCGGTTCAACCTTACCGGTGATTGTCATAGGGTCGGGTGGCAGCAATTGTTTGGCAGCTTGTCAGTGTGCCCCAGGCCAGCTGTGGCTACATTATAGCTCTCTTAGCCCAGCTGACTAGACTTATTTACATGGGCATTAGTCTATCTACTAAGATTCAGACTGTCTTGTCCAACACAGACTGGTGCAATCACAGCAGAGAGGCAGAAGTTAAGGCGTGCACCCGAATTACCCATAATGCAACAGCGGTTTTCTGTAGTAATAACAAATTAAGAGCTGCAGTTGAAGGACACAGTTTATGGAGTCCTGCATGAGCTGGATATATATATTTTTTTTTAATTCAAAAACTGTCTGCTGGGAGTGCTTTTGAGACACATGTTTAGTTCTTTGATTGGTTCTGACCTGTATCTGCTGATCCTGGTTGTGTTTCTGTTTGTGTTTGTTCAGTCTGAAGAGCTTTAGAGTCCTCAGACTTGATAAAGCCCTACATGTTAAGATGCATTCACACCAAACATTCTACAGTATATTCTGCCTGCAGCGCGGTGAGTTGACCACTCTGCACCGTGGACCCTGTTATCAAACATGAGGAGCTTAAGCTTCTTACTGTATCTGTTTCCAGTTTGAACCCAAAATGGAGGCCTGGGATTTTAACAGGCAGGTGGCAGAATCTTGTTTTTCTGTGGAAAGCCAAACAAAGCTGCCAGTGTTGATGTCTATTGGTTCAAGAAACGATAATGAAACCAGTTTGAAGAGTACCAGCACCTACTCCAAGAGCTGCATCTGGATGACGGTCCGATTTGGCTGTCCTTCCTTTTATCTAGCCGGGCAGAAGGCACCAATGCCGGGGAGTGGCTGCAGCTGACCAGGGTCTGTGCTAAAGCCAACATTATGGATGATTCTTATGTTGTTTTAATGATTCAACAGTCCTTAAAATAGTTTTTTTTTAAAGCCACATAAAACCTCTGGAGAGCATTCCTTATTTAATTCTTTGTCAACATCATTTTTCTCTATATTCCAATTAGACTGAAAGAGCTTTGTCTCATCTGAACTTCTTTAACATATGACACCCAAAACCGTAGTTATTTCAGTTCTCAATGCTATGACAATGCAGTGAGAGCGGTGTCTAGCAGCTTCACCGCTCTTTTACTGCACTATTTTCATAAGTATTCTATGTAAATCCACCGCTGTGGCTGCAGACACGGTGTCCCATACAAATGCACCATTAGACTGAATCTGCAGGTTGGTCAGTTGTTGAAAACAGTTTTTTGGGAGATTAAAAGGTAATACACTGTCACAGATGTGACATACCTAGACAAATTTTAAGTTATATAGGTAACAATGTTAGTTATGGAACTTTAAAAAAGGTTTTAACGAGAAAATGTGTTTGAGAAGAACTACTGTTTCCTCATATTTGTTTTGTCAACTCTTATTTTTCACAAAAAATGCAGATTTGAAATCGTCAACATTTTTCTGTTTTCCAGATTGAGTTTGGCAGATAAATTTTTTTTCAAGCTCTGTTGCACAGATCACATTCTCTTCAGTTCTTGGGGTGGACTTTCCTCTGCAACAAGCAGCGACTATGCATTTCTATTTGTCTGCATCGACGTTAATAGCAACATTTTGCTGGTCAAGAGCTTAAAAGCAAGAGAATGCAATCTGAACAACTCAATCTGAAAATCTTTTGATTGAAAATTGTTTTTAAGAATAGTTTTTGTTTTATTTCCAAGAAACATTTTCCTTGCTTTCAATGATGAAATGAAAGGAAGGTTCTCTGAAATTAGACAAAATAATTGTTTATATTGTGTGGTTCCATTAAAATATACAAGAAACCTGTTTAAACTTACAGTAGCAGCCATTCTGACTCCACCTGAATTGCAGGGTCTGACCAGGAGAAAACGCTTCTCTTTAGATTTTACTGTCCACAAATTATTAGATGCTTAAAAAGGAATTGAAGGGGACAGCCAAGGACCAGCCAAGGACCCATCAAGGAAGGTGGGGAAATTTTGAATGGCTACTACTGTAATAGAAAGATGAATGGAGTAGAAGATCAATAGACGGATCGGAGTGGCTTCCATTGCCTTATAATGCAGATGCTTCACCCGTCTGTCGTGGCTCTGATTTACCGCACGGCCTATGTTCCTACCCTCACCTATGGTCATGAACAAGATCCTGGATACAGGCGGCTAAGATTAGCTTCATCTGCATGGTGGCTGGGCTCTGCCTTAGAGATGGGGTGAGGACCTCAGTCATCAGGGAGAGGCTCCGATTAGAACTGCTGTCCCCCACATCTGGAGGAGTCAGCTGAGGAGCATCGGACCTCTATCCCTGCTGCCCCCTGGACCCCTCCCTCTTAAACAGGAACTTCCCACCAAAAGGATGAAAAGGGGACGACCCAGGAAACCATGGAGGGACTGTCTCTCTGCTGGCCTGCAGCGCCTCAGGCTTCCCCCAGTAGAGCTGGAGGAGGTGTGGAGGAAAGTCTGATACTGCTACCCTAAAGACCTGGTCTTAAATAAGAGAAAGGCAATGAGCACAAGTAGAAGGAAAGAGTATTGCAGGTAAATGTTAGGCATAAGATATATATTTTTTAAATCATATTCCTCTATTTAATTAGGATATTAATCTAATCGCGAATCTGTGGCATCAAAGTTGATCTTCTGTCAGTATACATAGCCTATTGCAAAGGCTTACCACTGTAGTTACACCATATAATATCTATTCATATAATTTCTATTTCCCACTGAAATGAGGGAGCTTTTTAATCACACATTCATGTGGTGATTAATAAAATTTTTCTTCTTTATGAACACGTGTACAGCTAAACAGATGAGCAAGCAAACACATGTAAACTGCGTCACCTTTTTTCCTCTCCCACAGGCAAACAAAGACCCGCTCTTTCTGACGGGGGTGACCTTCCCTTCAAAGTATCCTGACAGCCGAGATTCGCTGGTCAAACTAACTGTGTATGACGCAAAAAACAAGAGCCAGGAGTCGGTGAGTAAACACTGATTAATCTCAGTATGGATGCACTCTGTGTTTGGCAGTTGATCATCAAATTAAATGCATTCTAAGTTAGCTTCAAAGCTGTCTTAATTCAGTTTTCAGTTATACTAATAAGATAAAGAATCTTTAAAGATTAAAGATGATTGTGACGACTTCAAAAAGCTTTAAGAAATATGGGTACAGCAGGTTGCAGGAAAAGAAATTCTGGATGTTTCAAGACTTTTGAAATAAACTAAACTTTGAAACCTCAGTATCTTTTAATCTGTCCTTCGGATTTGTAGATTGTCCTGTTATCTAATCTGTGATAATCTTTTCTTGCACTAACCTCTACCTGAGAAGGTTATTCAGGTAGAGCTTCTAACCTTAGTAGTGGAAAAATCCCCAGAGGCTGGCCTGTTTCAAGCAGCTGCTGCTGGTGATTCCCAGTGACAGCTCAACGTCTCTATATGGGGGTCTGTGTGGCTCGGAAGGCGAAATAATTTAAGGAAGGAAGGAATCTTATTCTTGATTAACTGACTGGCCACACAGACGGTGTTTTAAGGTGGACTTTCTCACTTAAAAACATATTAAAACTACTTTTGACCAACTTATCACAGCAAATTTAGCAAAGCCACTCTCTGCCATTGAACAAAGGAGCAGCACAAGCATCAGATGCATCTGTACACACTTTATTGCACACGTCTGATTTTCATGTGGTCGAGCATCAAAGATGAAGCAGCAGATGCTTCTTGCTGCTTAAACTGCACGTGGTTTGAATGTAGCATTAGTGTGGGTGTGGTTTCCATAAAACCAAGATTTTAACAGCTTGTTTTAGACTCTCAAACATATGGGTCTTATGACTAGGAAGAGTTCATCATGGTTGGGCTGTCTGTCAGACAAAGTGCTGGGCCAATGTGGGGGCAGACCACACAGCTGAGCGGTAATTCCCTTCTTTTTGATATTAACCACCAGTACACACATAAAAAGAAGCTGCTTTGCTTGTTACTACACTAATTTACCTTCAGGTCCCACTTGGGATTCCATTTTATTTCCTAGTATGAAACGGTTCTTGACTTTTCACATAAATTTTTCTCCATGACCGCCTGAAGTCCCTATCCACATAAAACTTTTAGAATATGAATAATAAATGGACTTTATGTTAATAACAATGTGCTCATTCTATAACTATTTACAATTATTTCGATAGAACTCTAGTGCTCTGTCCATAGAAGTTGAGTTTATTCAGGGCTTCTGCAATATTCAGGGGACTCTCCATGGGATCGTCAATGGATCAGTTCATTTATTAGTGGAGGGATCGGTCAGTGGATCCGTTCATTTATTTATAGAGGAATTGGTCAGTTTATCTATAATTTATTTCTTTAGGAATCGTCCGTGGATTGGTTCATTTATTAGTGCAGTGATAAGTCGATTGTTCAGTTCTTCTATTAGTGCAGTGATTAGTCAATGGATGGGTTCATTTATTTGTACAGGGATCGGTAAATGGATTGGTTTATTTATTAGAAAAGGGAACGGTCAATGGATCAGTTCATTAATAAGTGCAGGAATCAGACAATGCATGTGCAATGTGATCGGTCAGTGGATCGGTTAATTTATTAGTGCAGGGATCAGTCAGTGGATTGGTTCGTCTATTAGTGCAGCGATCGGTCAGTGGATCGACTTAACTAATTGTGTAGTTATTATTCAATGGATCTGTTCATCTACTAGTGAGGAGATTATCAAGGGATTCCTTCTTTTATTAGTGTAGGGATTGTTTCAGTGAATCGATTCATCTCTTAATGCAGGGATCACTCAATGGAATGGTTAAACTATCAGTACAGTTATCGGTAAATGGATCGGTTCATCTACTAGTGAGGAGATTGTTAAGGGATCAGTTCATTTATCAGTGCAGGGATCAGATAATCTATTGGTGGGGCGATCGTCAATGGATCCGATTATCTAATAGTGGAAGTATCGGTCAGTGGATTGGTTCAACTATTAGTGCAGTTATTAGTCAATGGATCGGTTCATCTACTAGTAAAGAGATTGTCAAGGAATTGGTTCTTTTATTGGTGCAGGGATCGGTTCAGTGGATCAGTTCATCTATTAACGCAGGGATCAGTCAATGGAATGGTTAAACTATCAGTGCAGTTATCGGTAAATGGATCTGTTCATCTACTAGTGAGGAGATCATTAAGGGATCAGTTCATTTATCACTGCAGGGATCGGTTCAGTGGATCAGTTCATCTATTAATGCAGGGATTGGTCAATGGAATGGTTAAACTATCAGTGCAGTTATCGGTAAATGGATCTGTTCATCTACTAGTGAGGAGATCATTAAGGGATCAGTTCATTTATCACTGCAGGGATCGGTTCAGTGGATCAGTTCATCTATTAACGCAGGGATCAGTCAATGGAATGGTTAAACTATCAGTGCAGTTATCGGTAAATGGATCTGTTCATCTACTAGTGAGGAGATCATTAAGGGATCAGTTCATTTATCACTGCAGGGATCGGTTCAGTGGATCAGTTCATCTATTAATGCAGGGATTGGTCAATGGAATGGTTAAACTATCAGTGCAGTTATCGGTAAATGGATCTGTTCATCTAATAGTTAGGAGATTGTTAAGGAATCAGTTCATTTATCAGTGCAGGGATTGGTTTAGTGGATCAGTTCATCCTGTATTTCTACACAAATGTATTACATTTCAAATACAGTCCTTTTTGCTTTGTTTGGTCATCAGAGTGAAATTGATAGGGTCAAAGCACTGTTCTGTAGTCTGACAGAAGACTGATGGGAAGGTGAATTTGACCTGTTTCAAAGTATTTGTAAAACGTCCCCCTTTTTAATTGATACACCGTTTAATTAAACTATTTCGTGTAGATGTAGAGCTTCCATTGACACAGCAATGTCAACTTTCCATTCGATTTTTCTTCCACGGAGGAAATCCACTGATGTTCAACATAAGACTGTTTCAGAAAACAAAAAACTGTTAATTCCAGTGAAGAAGCAGTTTTTATTGAAAGCTTTTCTTTAACCTGTCTATCTGTTCTCAGCATAGTTCAAGCTGCAGAAAGGTCAGATTCTGTTTTAAAAATCGGACCAGTTGGCATGGTTACACAGCATTCAAAACATCAACCTCAGTATTCTCTTCATTGTTCCGGAAGCTTCTGCTGTGAAATCTAAAATTTCTGGTAAAGGTAAAGCTCGCCTTCTATTTTGTGATGTTAGAAAATCTGACAAGTGAGAAGACACAATTGAAATAATATAACAAAATAAAGATGTATTAAAAATGTAAAAAATGTGACATAATGCATCAAATCAGATATTATAGTTTACATAAGTTTATATGATCATGTATGACATACATCAAATCAGTTTATGATACAATATTAGATCACATTGTATCACAATGAAAAATATAATGCAACCGTTTTAGGCATTTACTTAATTATATTTAGTTACTTTAACAGAATTGTTTAATGTTAGCAGGGAAGAAAACAACTGTAACTGAAAGTAACTAAATATGATAAAATAAATGCAAAAAGCGGTTGCATTATTTTTTTTCCAGAGCATTATTTATGTTACAACATAAAGCATCAGGGGATCTACAGCACATGACTTGCTATCTGATGCCGTACAGTGATCTATAACACATGATTGATTATATTCATGACACAGTGAGCTATTTGGGGCAGTTTTATGAGCAGATTTCTCTCCAGTCTGCCTCAGCTTGAGTAAAATTGATTATTTGTCTTCTCTTTGTCCTTCACTGTTTGTGTGAACTTATATATTTCTTTCTAATTCAGAGTAGTGCTGAAAGAAAACAGAACATTTCACTCCAGCTTTGGTTTTAGATTTGGGACTCAAGCCTGAACCAAAAGTCTGACATACTCCTTCCTATTGAGAAGTTTTCTTCTCTTCTCTCATTTCCTGATTCCCTGCTGCCTTCAAAAATAACGTTTGAATGATGCGTTGTCTCATGGCCTCCTGCAAACCTAAGACATAAAACACAGTCTTTCATAGTAATTTCAAAAATCGCTCTGTGCGGTGCCGCTGCAGCACTTGAAAAATCATCCTTTCCCTTTTTTTTCCTTACACCAGAGCTCCTGAGCTGTGGTTAGCTTTAGATTTTCTGTGCTGTGCTCTGCTGGACACATTGGTCTCATTAGAGGCTCTTTAAGTGACACAGGCGTGACCCTGAACATGAGCTGGTGCAAGGCATCATCCTCCTCTGGCTTCAAGTGGAAGATCAGAAATCAGCCAGTCAAGACCCACTGATTTCCTCTTGTATTTTTCATTATTTATAGTCCTTTGTAAATGTAACATGCAATTTAGTTGTATTATGAAAGCAAAATAGCAAAAATAGCTGTGGTTTGTCAACTGGCAACCCTCCGACATACATTGGTCTGCTATGGTATACTCTGTTTATTTGTGTCAATGATTTTTTTATTTTACCTCATAAACCTATACAAAGTAAAGAATAATGTCCATATTTAATTTAATAAAGGCCGTCTTTGAAGAAGCTTAATTAAAATTTGAGCGGGAGAGGACACTGTCGTCAGATGAACTAACTTAGAGTCTGGATGGAAACGCTGCTGGTTAGAAAACAAAACCCAGAGCGAGGCAGCATCAAGCTGAAGGATACTTTTTCAGCACTGGTCAGAATCCTGGTAGAGACCTGCTGGATGCTGCAGAAGGCTTCTCGGACGTAAAACCAAAGCCATATTGACTCCTACTTTTTGGAAAAAAGCATATGGAAAACTGTCCAGACGTGCAAAGTCTTCACTTATATTTTTCTGGAATGACCGGATGAATTAAAAAAATTCACACCAAAGATTTCCGGTCTCACAGTTTTCTCCCTACTGTGTCCAGGTTCTCCCTTAGAGATACAGTAGGGTGGGGAGCTCAGTCATCATGGGAGGACTCAAAGTAGAACCGCTGCTCCTCCACGTCGACAGGTGCCAGTTGACTCCTAGACTCCTCCCTGATGAAGTGTTCCGGGGATGTCCCA